GGATAAAAATGTGTAATTTTGGGTAACCTTAAATCTTTTCGCTTAATATGACGACTGTTTTTAGTTGGTACCGAATAATAATAGAAGGAAAGAAAAAGCGCAAAAGATTTTTCCTTTTACTAGAGAATTCAAAGAAAGGAATGAAAAAAAATGAAACATAATTTTTAGTTATTATTTTTGGTGTGCTATATTAGGTTTCAAAAATGAGTAGTGAAGGTCAATCCTTCTAGTCTCGAGGTGTAACATTAGTTATACTCTTGGAGCACAATATAACTAGTTATTATCGAATTTTGCTTGCTTACTCCAGTTGTTCGCTTGCTAACGACTTTAGGGCTAATAAGTTTGGTTTCTTAATTTTTTCAAACTAGTTAACATTAATTTTAGCTTATGATTTTGCTTGCTGCATACGCAATAATTTATAATTACAAAACCGCTTTAGGTTGTAACGTTTGCTATAGTACAGGCCTTTAATCCTAGAGCTTGATACGTTTTATATAATAACTGGTAATATGAAATGTATATTACTTAAAGTACTATACGTATTTTTTAATAAGGATTAGCTTAGGTTTACGAGAACTTAAAAAATCATAGACACAATTAAATGCTTATTGTCAAGATATTAAAAGAAATTAGAATAAATTAAGACCATTACATCAGGTTGTGGTAGAGTAAAGGAATTGTAATGATTTCAAGCTATATATTATTATAATATTTCAGGCTATCAATGCAAATAATAGATGTAATAAGAAAATAATCATTTCAAACTACAGTTGCTTTTTTCATGTTTCATGTCGGATCCAGGAAGCCAACGCTCCATTAATGGCTGCAATAAGAAAGAAGACAAAATACCAAACCTCTTCTACCTCTTTGTCCCACAATTCGTCAATTTTTTTTTAGGTTTTAGTTAGAGCCCTCACCCGCGAAATTTATATACTCCTTGACAACACCATATTTACAATGCCTAATGACTAAGTCATCATTGTCAAGTATTAGTTGCTTCAAATCATCTAAAGAAGAAACACATTTGTTAACTACCATTAAAAACTTTTTACGACTGAGCAAAATCGGTTTCCTGAAAACAAAGGGATTACTTTCGGTTTATTCTCAAATAACTTCTCATAAAATGCGATGTCCACTGTATCAACCGAATATTTATTAATTTCACGACTTCTGCTGTTTTTTAACTAGTTCTGAAATATCCCTAGAAGAACTTGGGAAAAACCTCCCTTCATTAAACTTAAAATATGAATTTTGGCAGCTTTAAATAAATTTGGAGAGCTTGTTTTCATATTTCTCGAATTTCTTTGGAGAAAGTCTCAGGGATATTTCTTTGGTGTGAACTTTCTGGATAAATAAATGTTTTGCACATAGACTTTGCCATTCTTTTCATTCCACTTTATATATCTTCAGCTTGATATCCAAATACTCATTATGAAATGCTTTTTAAAAAAAAAAAAACTACCATTGTTTTTCTAACTTAGTCAGACCTTAAGGAAAATTGAGATGGTTAAGTTTAAAGTAGCTTATAACTTTCTTATACCGCATTAGAAATAAAGTTTAGATAATCATTAAATTTACTAAATGCATAAAAAATTAATATCCCCGATCTTATTTGATCTGTCGTAAACGTGAGAGTTGCTTGTTTTTTTATGATTGTAATGCTACAAAAGGAAATTAAATTAAGTATCTCGTTTTCAAGACATGAGCACTATTACCTATGATCCTAATTTTTTGGCCAGACTACAATTGCGGCCATCCTCCTCGCTTTTGTTATCTCTACTTACATCATACTATTTTGAATTTAATTTCGGATCATAAAGTATAATAAATGCTACCATTTTCAACGTTTTATGATTTATTTAAACTAATTGGCAGTCTTACTATCCTCTCTCAAAACCGCTATATAAATGAACTTTTTTTTGTTTATTTTGACAATATCGAGAATTTTAAGTTTGTTTTGTAAATATATTTTATTAAAATCAACTTTATATTAAACGTATCTGTAAAGTACTCCTCATGTTTCTTTTTTTAACTTATTTTATCAATCACCTTATTTTTTAACCCCTTCATCTATTTTATCGAGATTTTCTTGTTTTGTTTAGTCATTCCCTTCTTTAAATAATTCACCTTTAAAAAACTTCAGTCACCCTTTTTTTTTGGTTTTAGACATCGTATAATTTTTTTTGACTTCTTATTTATATTCTTTTTATTATTGATCCCTTCATCTTTTTCTTTCTTTTTAAGTCTTCAGCTATTAATTTTTTGGTCCTACGACAAGGTATACTGTTATTAACTTAATTTTTACAAGTTTTTTTATATATATACTTTTTTTTTCAACGGTGTTAAGTTGGCATTAGTTAACATTTTAGAGCTAAGTAAACATTGGAGCAGGTATGGTTTCGTTATCTCTACGTTTATTACGGTGGGCCACAGCTTAATAAAAAGTTGAGTTGCTTTCTCTTAATAGTTTACTCATAAAAATTATGGGCTGTCAACTATAAAATCTTAGTTACCACTAACAATATTTTTTTAAAACATTGCAAGAGAGGAATTTTTTGCAAAGAAAAATTGAAGAAAGCGAAAAATTCTATTTTTTATTTTGAACCGAAATTGCCAAAGCTTGAAGCAAGGTTTTTTAAGCAAAACAGTTCCACTTGTCTAAGTTATGGCGATTATAGTTAGAGTAAATCTATTTTTAAAGCTCTGTTTGTCGAACATACGGTCCTTTAGATCCTACACACCGAGACTATACACACAAAAAATTGTCCGGTAGCTGTCTTAATATAAATATATATTGCCTCCTATAACCTCTAAAATAAAAAAAAACGTTATTATATTTGTTACAGTAGTGACGGAGTAGTATAATAAAAGAATAATGAAAACTAAAAGTTGTTCTAATAACAAATTTACTAAACTGCATGGCCTTGAACCTTTTAACTAAGCTCTAAAGGAGCATAAAAATTATTGACCATGCACAGAATGTACAAAATAATCGAGCTGGTAAAGTTAAATGCTAAATAAGAAATATATTGCGATTATACATAAACAAAAGGTACTTTTCTACCTATAGTAAAAAGTCATTAAAATGTATGATATACAGAGTCAGAGCTTGACACAAACAAACTTATTTTTTTTATGTTTATAGTCAAAGTTCAAAGGGTAAAAAGATTAAGTAATTTTTAAAAAAAATAATAAAGCAGTACTGTTTAAAGTTTCCTTGAGCTCAAGGCTTGTATAACAATTAAATAGGTAAGTGAGAGTACTATATAAAGTAAGTAGAAGTTATTGACGAAGCAAAACTAATTAAAAAACTCTAAGGTAAGGGCATAACCCCTTTTTGCTAAGGTACTTTACATGGAAAGCCGTCAAAATTTACAAAAAATAGTACGCATCAATAGAAATTTTGGGTTATCACCAAAAAATTTTCTTAAAATATTGAAAAAGTCAAAGGTAAAAACTAGTAAAAATAAAAGCTATGTTAGAATTTAAAAGGCTGCCCCTCTTGTATAAGTCAAGAACATTAGAAAATAGTTAAAAGGTTTGTTACGCAAAAAGTATTTACGTAAAAGGCAAGTAAAACTTCTAAGCACATTAGAATAATAAGAAGAGCTTTTTTCATGCGTAAATCGCGATAGAAACAATTAAAATGTTTATAACACGTGAAAAAGATTTATAAAAACTAAGGGCAGTAACTAGTAAAAATTTAGAGTATCTTAAAAATTATTCAAAATAAAAAATTAATAAACATTGTTATGATTGGTGAACTTGAATGGTTATTACGCAACAAAAGGATGGGCATTTCTAATTTTGTAAACTATTATGTGAAATGTGAAATAATCTAATGAGATTGTATAAAACATAACGAGCAATGTAAAATACTTTATATTATCCTTTTAGAAATATAAGCAGATTTAAATATTTTAAGCTGGAGTGGTTACTCTATCACCCTTTAAATAGCTCCGCGCATCTTCTTTGTGAATTAACTTTTTATCTTAAATATAATATATTTGAGGGATTCAAGTTAAAAACAAAATTATTACAAATTTCCGCCCATGCGGTATAATGCCTTTTTAAAATTAATGAACATAAAACACTAAACATTGTGTTTTAATTATGAATTATTGAAGTAGTTAAGGGCTTTGGGCTTTGCTTTATAACTAAAATAACAGTAGTTTTCTGTCATTAAAAACACATTAAAATGTGGTCAATAAAACTTTGTTCTCTGTTTTTATTTTTAAACTTTCTGTAAAATATTAAGAATAGTTTTTGGATCATAATAAGACATCTTATATCTCAAGTGCCCCCTGATCCTTTCTATTGAGTATACGTACACAGAAATATATACAACGCATAAACAAACAATTAACCATACAAAAGAAATTGCGTAAAGATAAGCCATCCATAAAAATTATAAACTATTAACCTTGAAGAAAAGCATCTTATAACCTTTTTGGTAGAACAATTTCAGCTAAATATCAGTTTATAGAAATAAGATAATTTTTATGGTTGGTTGATCTTTGCGTACTTTAATTGTTCGTTCATGCGTATATGTATGTTGCTGTGTATAAGTTAATATTTTGTATATATTTCTTGACACTTTCTTCAATCTTTACAAATATTAAATATGAATTCTTTATAAATATTTTTATAAATTTTATTTTTTATGTAGATCTGCATAACTTCAAAGCATAACCGCATTGAGGTTGAGCCAGATATATTAATTTAGAGTAAAATTAATTTTATAACTTTCTTATTAGCTTTTTAAGTTAAATAATATATCTATTAGAAATAATGTAAATTAACAGTTCAATTTTTTTTTTAAAACTTAAAATAAGTAACTTGTAAGTATTTATTTTTTAAACACACGCTGATTTATCTTATTAGTACTTAATGCTTTAAGAAACGTAGGGACGCAAAAAACAAATAAGGTTATTCATTAGTATATTAAATAGCATATAAAAGTAAAGAACTACGTAATTTTTTTTTTTACCTCAATTTCTTGGCTATGCTTTGGTCTCCGCTTTTTCTTTTTAGTGTTATTTTGCTGGGGAGGTCTCAGGGAGCCCGGCCTTGTCTTTATAAGGTGATCCGGGAGGAACTGTAAGTTAGGTTATGTTTGACTTGTCCCGGCGTTGCCCTAAAGGGTAACTGCGGACAATAAGAAAATTATAACTCGTATTGCAGTCAGTAAAATATAACAAAACTTATAATAGAAGCACTCGTGGAATCCCTTTTTAATTAATTTTTAACTTTTTAACCTATTTTTTATGAAAAGTTTAATAATTGTTATTGAGTAAATATAAGAAAAATGACTTTCAGTATATTTTGATATAAATTTCTAATAAAAATTTTTTTTTTCATTATAAATTTCATGACTATTAATGTAGTTCATTAAATGATTGTAACTTAACTGAATTTGATCCCGAAAAAGTCAGTTCTCCCGAATCCGTAAAGACAATGTAAGCTTTTTTTCTATTTAACTTCTCAAGAGAAAACTAGCTATATACGTATAAGTGGCCTTTCAGGAAACAGCATCAAAGAAGTTTCTAAAGAAATGTTTATGAACTTTGTCTCACTAACTCTTTTGTAAGTTATAATAAATTGCATCTTAGCTATGTTCTTAACCTAGACAAACTTAAGAAACCTTGCATTTAATAGTTATATACAAAATTTAAGCTATGTACCACGGCAAGTAGAGATGGAGGTTAGAGTGAGTGCGTAGTTGCGTTTTCAAAAACATTGCCATTTAGAAATTAATCTATAAAGTCAACGATAACATATTATTTCTGGCTAAAAAACTTTTAATCAACACTAAAGAGGTTACAGTAAGTGATATGTTTAAAAAAATATCTTAAAAAGTTTTCTACTAATACGCTTTGTCTGCTGTTAACATATAGCTCGATATTTCCTTAACGTTAAATTTAACTACATGCAACGAGCTTGTACTGTATTTAAAAAAAAAACAATTTTAGGCAATTTTGTTTATTTTTTTTGAAGTTTATCAACTAAAAAACGATAGAGACCTTAGAAAGAACAGAATCACTAAGATCGAAGATGGCGCTTTAGAAAATCTTGGCAATTTAAAATTTTTGTAAGTTTCTCTATAAATTTCTTGACAATGCTTTGGTTAAAAGGATTTTATAAGATTTCTTCAAAAAAACAACCTTGAGAGTGTCAATAAAAAGATGTTTAAAAGATTGAGCGGGTTAGAGCAATTGTAAGTTGTCTACATACGTATTGTGTAAAGTTGTTGCATCCTTAAAAAATGCATACGAAGTTATTATGATTGTTACCTGATAGATAGGTGTAATGTCGTATCCCAATTAATAGTTATATTTACAAATATATTGCTTTTGGCATATTGAGAAAACGATATAGCAAGCCAGATGCCTGCTACTATTATTTTACTAACATGATTATTTCTTGCTTTTAACCGGTACAGAACGCTTCAAGGAAATTCCCTTAAATTCGTGGGTAATGAAACGTTTTCAGGAATGCCCAATCTATATTTTCTGTAAGCGTTACATATTTCTTTAAATCTCTTATTCTTTAATTCTCTATTGATAATACTAGGTTGTTGTGGAACAACAAGATCAAATATATTAATGATAAAACTCTATTAGGCCTGTTAAAACTAGAAATTTTGTATTATATATAGTATAGTTGTACTTATTGTTTACATTTTATCATAATAAAATTAGTATTATGTTAAAGGTCTTCATATAAGTATTTTTGTACTCTGTCGTTACCAATATATTTTAATCTAATTACTTAGAGATTTGTCGAAAAATTTAATCGAGTCCATTCCATCTTACGCTTTTTCAAAACTAAGCTCATTAACAAATTTGTGAGTTTATTTTACAAGTAGATATACAAACATTTTATAGACATGTTAAAAACGCAAAGTTAAATATGTTCAGTATTCTTTAGTTTCCAATCATTCGTAAGTATTCTTAAAGCAAATTTAATTACTGCTCTATTGTTTTTCAACCTTTTACTGACTATAAAACGGTGCCTACGAATTTTTATAATTAATACGCTAGAAATTTAAGAGATAACCCCATTCGCTTTATTGGACATATTGCATTTTATGATTCTGAATTTGTGTAAGTAAATTTATTTTTTGTTCTTGAGAATGCTTAGTAACTTAAGTCAATATCCTACGTGCCCTCAGGCATATATCTCAGGAAAAATTTCTCTGTTGCGCAAGAATTTCTTACAAGAATGATGATCACATCTCCCAGAGATGCACTAATGAATCTAGGTTCTATTTACCTTTTAACAAAGAGAGCTGTCCCCATTCGGATGTGGGCCCTCCGAGTGAAAATGGAGATCCAGAAACGCCACAGGGTCTTCATCCATATGTAAACTCAATTCCTCTAGCTTCATCTAAGGGCCTTTCTTCAACCCTTACTTCACATGGGCATATGAGGACCTCGGCGCATTCTAATGCTCAGTCAAAGACAGAAGTACTGGTCAAAGACCCTACTGTGAATGAAGACTCAACTATCGAAGCACCGGCTAAGGAGTATTCTTCCGGCCCTACTTCACGTGACCGGGTGAACACCTCATCACACTCAAACCCTCCGCCAGAAACGGAAGTAGCTGAGGAAACACCCGTTTATAAAGAGCCCCAGAAACCGCAATTCTCCGTGTTCACCTCACAGAGAAAAAAGATAAGCGGAGGAGATAAGGCTATATCAAATTCCTTTATCTTATTAAGTGCTTGTATTATTGCCCTCTTAACCGGTTAATAAAGTGTTTACTTTTTATTGGCTAAAGTAAAAAAACGTTAGCGCGCAGTTATTAAGTAAATGCATCGGAACTCTTGGAGTTTTCTGACGTTTTTCACCTCTTTTTGGTACTTAAAGTATATCTAATAGCTAGATGAGACAGGCTTAATTAACGTTATCATAATTACCTAAAAAAGTTTAAATTTCCGCTTCCCTATAAATTTAGTAAGCAGATAAAACTTCAACCAAGTATAAATATATCTGTCATAATGTTTTAATTTGTGTATCCTCTGTCACTTATTTTATGAAAATGATAAACCCAAGTTGTAAATTTGCTCCAAATTATAAAGAAAACTGCTAATTCTTCCTTTGAGCTTACTGTTCAGGTAGTTTAAAAGGTTATAGTATAACTTTAATTAGCGCCGTAATCGTTACTCATTGATATACTTATGACTTTTTTGTACAATATAAAAATTTTCTAAAGGGCTAAAATATTATTTAATTTAGCTTTTTTTGGTATTGAGATGAGACAATATACGGCGAAATGTGTTAACTACGATAGACAACGGTCAGCCTCGTGTTTACTATGAAGGCCCCCAGCAAACAAGTTATCAATTAAAATTTATAAATTATTACCAAGCAGTTTTTCTACCATCTTAGTTTCTTAGGTCCGCTCACTACATTTTTAGGTAATATATAGGCCAAAAAAACCGTACAGCAGGATAGTTATGACTTTTTCCTTGACATAAATCGTCAAATATGTATTTGGGTCATGAACTATTCTAGTAGGCAAAATTATAAGCCAATAGGCTATTTCTAAAGTCGCGAAATCTACAATAATTACAAGTTTAAAGAATTTTGTAAAGGAAAGGGTATTATTCTCGTCTTAACTTACTTTCTGTTAGGAGCACTATCTAACGTAGAAATTCCAAAACTTATGAAAATTGTAACCAAGACCTTTAAGGATCTGGAATTACGGCCACAGTATCTCTAAGGCCTCCCATAAAAGTTGTCTAAGCTAAACTTTTAGAACGCTCGAGTTCAACTCTCGTTTTCAGTTTGTATGATAGGAACTTTTATAATACACAGAAAATTCCAGATCACATATGAATTGTTAACTCAAGAAAATTGAACGTGATTATCACTTTTAGATCCCTCCTTTTTCATTCTATACGGCAGACTCAACTAAGTTATATATTACTTCATTAATTCAATATGCGGGCGTACAGCTATATTCTGTAGCTGTAAACAATGGTTTTGACTATAGAACACTTAGATACCTATCTCTATATAAAAAATGGATTATTTGGATAATAAAAATGATCTTAAAAGGTTAAGCATGGAAAATTACTAAAACAAGTAAACCAAATTGCAGGCCTAGGTGCTATCATAGTAGGTACTTGATAGTTCTTAATGAACAAAATTTAATTTGGAAGACTCAGGTTTAGTGAGCCTAGCTTAAAATATATTATGCCCATTACATTTAGAAAAGCAAACATTACCTTAACACAAGCTGCTTATAACTGTCGATCTACAACTATTTGGTAGCTGTGATACTACTTACCATTTTTGATCTTGAAGACTTTCCCTTTTTAAAAAAGTCTTATTATAAAAAATTTTACTTGGCAGTGTTTACTTGTAAATTTTTTCTTATCTTGATGAAAATCGTACCGTTTACTTAAAGCATCATGGGTGATAAGTTTAAAAAAAAATTTTACGAAAAAGTTATTTAAGATTCGCCTGCCAAGCATTCTTTAGTAGCACACACAGTTTATAAAAGGCACGTTCTGAAAATGTTAAAAACGATAAAATCACTTCTCAATTGTATTTAGCTTTATGAATTGTAAGTAACATCTCTTTTTTTATATATAATTAAGTACAGTAATATTTTACTTTATTTAATTATTCATGTCCTTAAAATAAGGTTGCTCTAAGCTAAATAAATCTAAAAACTCAACTCTCAAAAGCTAATAGTTTACCTTTCGTTTACAACTGTGAAACGATATATATTAAATAAAATAAATAAATTCCTTTACTTTGCCGGTGACAAATTTTTAGATTTTTTAAACATCAAAATATTAAGAAAGTACAGATCACATGGGAAAAGCAAATGACTCAAGTTGTTAAAAAGTTTGTTAAAATTTTATTTATTACTGCTTCAGATTTATATAACCAAGTCAAAAAGCTTAAAGCACTAGAAACTTAAGAAACACTATAAACTTATGTTAGTGATTTTTACCCTTTTAAAGGCACTATAGGTAATAAAAAATGTTTTATTACGTGTTCCCGCTATAAAATTGTTTAAAAAAAGAAGATGGTCTTGTTTGTGTTAAAACTTGTTGGTTAATTTATAAGCCTATTTTACCATTAGTTGCACAGAAAAATGAATAGTCATTAATAATAATAAAAAATGAGTAAGTATTCCGTTCTTTAGATAATACTGAGCAACTGCAAAAAAGTCTGTCATATATTTAGCCACGTAGGGAACTAGTTTCATATTATCTGGCTTTATACATAATCTTCATTAAAGCGAAGTCACTTTTTATTTATAACAAGTGTGCTAGAGAATTATTATAACAATGAAACCTTTAAGCCAAAAAGTGTCTTACCGTTTAAAGGAACAAGTAGAAGGAAAATAGCTACCAAGGCACCAAAAGACTTATTAACCCTTTTTTCCATTGATCGAAGGTTACTTCTTAAATTGCTTTAATGAAAGTTTACATAAGCGTGAAGGTACAGCTGAGTTTAGGTAGTCTTTATAGAATAAACTCTTAACTCGTTTAAAAATACTTAACCCAGGAACATTAAAAAAAACATACTTTGTTGTTATGCATTAAAACAGAGCCTCGATCTCTACGATCGCACCAGCTTGTGTGCTTTTTGGTTGTAAATTTGTGTTAGCGTACTAAGCTACTAAATATTGTGTTTACCAACTTCCTAAGATCGTTATTCATAATTAGTGCTTCCATATACTTATAAAAAAATTATACTTTTTCATTAAGAAAATATAATTATTAACTATACTTATTACCGTAAGAATGTTATATTACAACCCTCAGTCCCGGTATGATGGCGGCATGTATCCAACCTCATTTTCAGTACAACTGAATATCACGATCCAAGAAGAAAGAACAGATAGAGTAAACTCTTATTTTAGCTCTTTACTTTGAATTTATCAAAAATTTTTGTAAGTCACTGAACCACATAAATGATTTAATAACGAATAACGCAGAAAAAGTGACCACTGCACTAAACTGCCAAAAAAAAATTCTTACAGTGGTTAACAGGATTTTAATATATATTTTTTTTAATATGATTTTTAAAGATATTATTTAACTATACCAGTTGAAAGAATTTTTTCCTGTAAATTTGTTAACATCACGATAGAATTTCTTATGTTAGTACCTAGTAAAATATGTTAAAATAAAATGCTAACTTCATAGGAGTTTTAATTTACCTCAGCTTACTCTTGCCCCTTTATTTCTTTTTTTACGATATATTGCCTGTATAATTCTTTCCTTGTAGATTTTTGCTTGCAAGTTCACACATAGAAGAGGATGTTAAACAAACTTTTATACCAAGCGATTTCTACTCGAGCTGGAAGAAAGGGGTGTTACTTGGTATAAGCCCACAAGTTTAACCCTACAGTAGTGGCAGTAGGTCTCTCAGACCCTTTAACTTTTAAATTTTTTACTTTTAAATAAAATAAAAAATACGGTAAATTTCTGAACACTTGTTGCTTATTGATATTAGGATACGGGTCACACTAAACTTTAACTTCTATCTGATTTGAAAATTTAGAAAACAAAATAATTTTCATATCTGTGAGGCCTCCCTTGGGACTACTGTAGGGCTAACTCCCTGAACACTAACAGTTTTTGGACGTGAAGCCACAGATAACTTGGCATCCACATACAAGCTATTTTATGAATAAACAAATTATATTTATTTAACATAAAATTTTTAAAAATACTTATAATTACTAATAAATTTTTTTTTTCTTCCACTACACTTATGTAACGAGCTTTAAATCTTCTAGTTTTTACGATGGACAGCCTTCATCTTGCATGCTGGTTCAGAAGAAGTGGGTTTAGACTTGGTAGGAAGCCAACGCTCTGTGAGAGCAAACCCTGTTGAGGTAACAGCTAATTGAATCCCAAGTATGTACAAAAATAAATGAAGCATTGACATTTGCAATGTGTAGGAAAATTTTCTGACCAAAGATCCATCTTCAAAGCCTTAAAAAACCATAATTTTATATAGAGTTTATTTTTTAAATGTACCTCATAATTACTTAAAGAATAATTTATGTCGTCAAAAGTCTCACTTTATAAATTTATTTAAGTAAGCATAAATTATTTTTAATTAAAGTAAAGGGATGACGCAATTGAATCAAATCCTTTAAAAACCTCATAAACTCTAATATTTAAGATAACCAGTTATAAGTGACCGCTCAAAATTTTTATGCAAGGTTTATATTTGGGCCACAGTTGAGTTGGGTTAAACGTTTTAATTAAGTTCTTTAAATAAAAAATATAAAAAATTTTATGTATATATAAAATAGAAAATTTTTAGTAACACACGTCAGAATTTATTTAATATTGCGCTCTTTTGACCCTAGCAAGGTATTAGAAGCAGCTTGCACCTCTTATATTGTAGCTGCAATGTAATAAATTAAAAACATGAAATTGATAGCAGGTTAATTAAGTAAAAGGTAATAATTATCTATTTTCGTGATATTTAAATATTGGCAACTCTCCAGAGGTTGTTCTTTCATCCCTACCGAATGGTTAAACTTTTATTGTTGTGTTTACTGGGAATAGCGAGCTCTTTAACCCCTCAAACCAATCCTTGGGAATGGGACAGAGCTACTGAACATGAAACTGAATATCATCATCTTAATGCTGTAAAAAATTTTAATAACACTGAAATGCCAAAAGCAACATTTTAAACTATGAGCCTCCTGAGTTGAATTAATGGGGTACTAAAAAGTCGTTGAATGAAAAAAAAACACATTACACTAACCACTGCCTATAATTATATATTTTATATAAAAATAGTATACACGGTAAAATCGCTCTACTAAAATTCTATTTTTTCATGCCTAAAGTTTTCTATAGAAGCGTGTTTACAAATTATAATCCAAATAGAATTTTTATTTTAAGTTTTTTTTTTTGAATTTTTTTAACGCATAGTAACAATTTCCTCCGAGCTAGTCGGATGGATTGCGCAACACGCGTCAAAGTCAGCTTTAGTAGCTATAGTAATAAAATAAATTCAAAAATACAATAAAAGTTTAAAAATAAATTGTAATAACTAACAGAATATAATATGTAAGATAAAATAGTTTTTCACTATTAGCGTAATACAGCCTCTACATATATAACTGTAAAGACATATAAGGCGACCTCCCATCTTTATGGCCACCGCAAACCCCTGCAACATCTCATCAACACCAGAACCAACTATATGAAGACCGATAACTTTTTCGCTTTTACCTGTTAGTGTGTTCATAAGAAAGTCCATCCTAATTATAATTATTTGCCACAACCGTAGCAGATAAGTTTTATAGCAGATTGAGTTTTCTTGTTAGTAATGGCGTTAAATAAAGGGGTAAATCTTGATTGGTATATTTTAATGTGTTCGTTTCCATATTCGCGAATTGTTTCCTCTTCAGAAACACCAACGGACCCTTTAAAAACAAAACAATAAAAAATAAAATTAATTACTTAAAACAATTATGACGGTTATTAAATTTTTTTAATCTTTTTTTTCACGGACGTCCCAATTTACTATAAACTTAACAAGAAAAATAGCTATTTTTAGCAAGTCTTCCTTCACATAACTCCAAATATAAATGTTATCATAACTCCAAAATGTCGAACCTAACTTTGTTAAAAAATTTTCCTGCATAATAGGTTGGGGTTGTTATTGAAAAAATATTTGCAGTTATCGTCTAACGACACTTTCAAAATTATTACTAGCAACTTTATATAAACTCTCCGGCCTCTGCCGCTGTGTAACTAAAAATCTTTTTTTTTTAAAATAAATCTGCAATTACCAAGAGAAAGCAAATTCTAAAGAATACTAAAAACTTATAAAAACAAATTTGTGATCTATTAAAAGGAAGTCTGCAAAGTGCTAATCTGACCCTTAAATCTTTAAAACTTTTTTTTATTATTCATCAGGTAAATAACTATTGAAAGGTGTGGTGCCTGAAATAAATACTTAATTAAACTTTATAAAACCTTCACTACGCCAAACTAAGTAACCTAAACTATTTGTTATTAAAGTTGTTCGTATTCCTAAGTTAGCTTTTTATAAAATAAATGATAATAATAGTAAATATAATAATAAACCAAGGGGGGGATGAGTAAATATTACGGTAGGAACATTCTTATATTCAAACTTTGCATACGGTTTGTTATTGTAAAGCCTTTCCGCAAGGAGTCTCCCGGCAGCAATGGCAACTTCAATATAGTTTGCAGATAAAGAAATGAAAATAAGCACAATTAATAGTTTTCAAAAAAAGTTGGTCTGTGCAAACTATTACAACGTTTATAATAAAGTAAATAAAAATAATAAGTTGGACCGGGTGTAAGCTGGAATATTCCACACACATCGCCCAACGCATATATATTACTGGCGCTCGTTTCTTGATACGCATTAACCTTTCAAAATACATTATTCGTTACACGCCAAAATACTTTTTATATAAATAAAGGTTATTACAGTTTTGAACTAATTGCTATAAAAACCTTTCATTAGTAAAAATCTTATATCTTCAGAATGCAGTAATAATAAAGGGTTTTTTAGAGGCAATAGGGGGCAACTACTTATTTTTATTGGTGAAAAACGGTCCTTTCAATAGCCAAAAAACCGATCCTTCTTAAAATACTAAGTCTAAAACAAGCACTTTATAGTGTCTGCCGTAACTTTGTTCTTTTCTCCTTGTCTATTAATATTTTTTATACCAAATAATGAACAAAGAACCGGGTTAACTGTTAGTGTGGAGTCATATAATTTTCAAACTGTATCCATTTACGTATGATTAACCAATAAAAAGCACCTTAATATGACCGGTGCTCGTAAGGTCCACATGGACTTTGGATAATTGTAAATCCTCTGTGTTGGGATCCCGCCCAATGGCCCATATTAATACATCAACATCACTCAAACGAAGTGCTTCATTCTTATAGGAAAGGTCCACCACTAAAGTGCCGTCAGTAGATTTGGCCACTCGAGTCACGTGGCTATTTCTCACTGTAAATAAGTTCGTGAGTATTTAAAATATTTTTCTTTGAAATTTTTTTAAGAAAAAGGTATGCTTCTGATGATCTTCATATTCTTGTTTATAGCCAGAAATAATAAAGAAATAAAAATTAGTTATACAAAAATTAACGCCGTTTTTCTCCAACTCTTCCATAGCAACGCTTTGCAAAAGTTCGTCAAACGTGCGCAAAATGGAGGCGTGCCGAATGGACATATAAGTTTTACTCCCGAGAAGAGAGAGGATCCCAGCGAGTTCAACTCCAATATAACTTCATTAAAAAAAAAAAGGTGTGACGAGAAAGTTTGCTCAAATATAAATATTTTATTAGTTAATACATTTTTTAACTTCCAAAAAAAATTATTTTTAAGTGTAATAGTTATTATTATCTCATTATAACTTAAAATTTTCAAAAGTAATAACGCTCAATTCTACTATAATAAACATTTATTATAAAAATAAGCCTGCCCTGCACCAACTATAACACTTTTCTTCGGCAGGCAGTCAAGCTCAAAAAATCCATCAGAAGTGATGCCCAACCCGCTGCCCTCAATGTTCGTAGGAACGCGTGGCCTACTACCTGTTGGCAAAGAAAAAATATAGGAATTTTATTTGTATTTTTTTTAATATATTCTTATTATGAAGGTTTTTTAAGTAAAAACTATTAAGTTCCATTTAAATATTGTTTTCTTTGTTATTATTACAATAAACAAGACAAAAAAAGTCTAGTAAAATTTTTTTTAATCGTAATAATATCAATACTTTAGCCATTTTTAACCGCTAGTGAATATTATTTTAACTCTAAAAAGAATAAAAGCTACTAAAGGCTTAAGAGAGTAATCAAAATTCACAATGCAATTGAAAACCAATGAAACGATGCGAACTTAATTATAAGTGACCAATAAAATATCGTTAGCTAGCAATATTAAACAAATAAGGGATACTAGTTTATTAATTAATAATACTGCATAAAAATTCAAATTTTTTAATAAGTACTTAGGAGCAACACAATTTTTATCAAAAACAAAAGTTCCTAAATATTCCAAGATATACATATTTATTACTTCTTCATTAATCCTTAATACACTTTTCCTTACAATATAAAGTCGACTCGGAAAAAAAATTTTATAGCAAAATAATAATTTTTTTTGGTACATTCTCAGCTGATAACTGCAAATTTAATAAGTAAATATTACAGGTACCATAATATTTCTAAACAAGTTTTTAATAATAAAAGCAGCCACGTTGAACTTTATTGGCTACTCTCTAATTGCTTTGGTAGTCAGTTAATAAACTGCAATCTTTTTATTCAATACATTGTCTAATTACAAACGACAAATTTAGTTAATCCGGAATAATTAAATCTTTCCCACTATCTCATTGGTGTATTTTTTTATATACATATAAAGTTTCCGGAAGCCGAAGTTGAGACTAGCAAAAAGGTTTCAGGCATACAGCAGTCCGCAAAGCTTTTGAAAATGACCTTTTCGACCCATAAACTATGTTAACTACCAATAATCTCTTATTACATAATAAAGAATACCAATACTGTTCGCTCGTAGGCCATAAAGAAATAATAACTGAAATAGTAATGGTATAAAGAAACACGTGGCATAAATTAAAGAGCGTAAACCTATGACGTATTGCCAATAATTTGCAGTACCAACTTAATTCTTCTTAAAATAAAAAATTGAAAAATAATAATTAACTGTAATAAAAAATAAAAAGATATAATCATAATACATATAAAAACTAAAAACCTAATAAAAAGCGGTAATAAAAGTGACGAACAGCGATTATAATAAATGACCAGTAGTAACAAAAATAAATAACCAGTGGCTATCACGATTTTTTTTGTCGTATAAAAACTATTGTTCACTTGAAGTTTGTGATTATCCACAAAACAAGCGATTCCCGTAATTCTAGTTATGTTTGCTGTTTAATAAATATTAATAAAATTTAAAATTCTTTTAATAGTACATGAATTTTAACTTAGAATTTCCAAAATAAGTTTTAAGTTTAAATTAAATTTTATTTAAAAAAATAATTATTATTACTACAATCTAATAATAAGACCTTTAAAAAGAAATTTATTTTACTAAATATATCATAAATTAGTAATAAAGACAGAATATTCATATATTAGAGCAAAACTAATTAGTTTTAGAAAAAAATTATATAAATTCAAATACAAAAATATTTTAATAATTAACAAAAGTAAAATTATCTTATTACGTAAAAAATAAAAAAATAAAATGCCCAGAAAAAAATATTTTTAAAAAAATATCAGAGTAATAAAAATAATAATAAAGTTTAAACTAATTAATACTAGTAAAAAGTTTCAAGTTAATATTTAAAAATAAATTAAAAAGTGGAGGGGAACTTATAATAAAACTAAGTGAATTCGTATGAAATTAATTCCGAATAAAATTTAGTATAAAACTACATTGTAAATTATTTTTAGTAAAGTATCATATTAAATTAGTTTAAAGAAAAAAATTAAAAGAAAAAATCATGTATAAGGCATATTAAACCATAATTTAAATTTTTTAAATCATAAAGAAAGTTTATTATAATAAAAAATAAAATAAAATAAAATAATCTCCAAATTCCAAATAATCGTAACAAATTAAAAATTTTTTAAATAATATACCCAAGAATAGGGCAACTTAAATTTATTTAATTTAGATCGAAAACTTTAATTTAAGATAATATTTTTTTAAGTAAATTTTGAATCAAATTTTAATATGAATCTATAAACTTCTTTAATGACTTTGTAAAGTCGCAAAGTAACCTTTTTTTAAATTTTTTTCGTAAACTTCATTCAGATTTTTGACAAGATTATCGCGTTTAGTTTTTAAATGGCTACATACACAAAAAAAAGGAAAAAAAATTATATTACAATTTTTTTACTCAAGGAAAAACTAAAATTACTTTTGATTTTAATAATAATAAATGATAATAAAGTATAATAAAAAAAACTTTGAAAAAAAAATTTAAAAATTTTTATAGTATATTTCCAAAAATATACTTATTCAAAGCTAAAATATTTATTATAATAATCTACAAATAAGAATCTTAAATTCTATTAGAAAACTAGAAAATTTATTTTTAAAATAAATATATAGCAATACCAGTAATTTACTTCTTATCATATACAAAAGTTACTGTTTTAGAACCACAGAAACTATTTAACTTTGCTAACCGTTTAATAAATAATACATAAAAAAAAACTTTCCAAAATTTTTACTGGTAATATATAATTAATTCTATAAAAAAAAATTTCCAATTCCTAATATTAGCCCAGATAAATAAAAAAGTAATACGAATTTATAAATTTCATATAGACAGTAGAAATAGGCAATAGCAGAAATTCTAAAATGTAAATGATAATAAAATAAAGTTATACTAAAAATGTATAACAAGTTTATAAACCATAGAAGTAGTATTAGTATTTAATTAAAAGCTAGAAATAGTAACTTCGTTATATATAATTAAAAGAATAAATGAGGATGCTGCAGTAGTACTTAAAAATGATTTAGTTCTTTTAATTTTTAATAAACTTTAAAAAGTTCTCAATTATAAGCTACAAAGTAGAATAGTGTAATAACTTCCAGTTAAAATGCTTAAATTCTGAATTAAATCCATAATCTTTAAGTGTGTGCATCATCTCCACATGCAAAGCAGCATTATACATCACTTTCTTAGGAACACATCCAACATTCACCTGATAAAGATAATGAAATTATTGTAAAATATAATTATTACTAGTTCTCTCTCCTAATAATATTTTTTTGTATAATCAATTATTATAAGTTACACAGGTCCCTCCTAACGCCCCTTTTTCAATCAGAGCAACTTTAGCGCCGTACTCGGCAGCTCTACGAGCTGTCGCCATACCTCCAGAACCGCCTCCAATAACAACTAAATCGTAATCATAACTCTTCTCCTCAGACATTTTATAATAATAATATAACACCGAAGCAAGAAAGTAAATAAAAATATGAGAGCAGGCAATCTTTACACTGACCTTCATAACTACTGCTCTTATTGGTTGCTTAACATTGAAAACTTGGAGGTTTAGGGCTTGAGATGCAGTGCTATTGTTATCGTAAAAGTCTCCTTGACCCAAGAAGAATCAAAACACTTTGAGCGTAGTGAGATTAGTAAAGCTATTCTTACAAAAATTGTTTTAATGCCATTCTTATATAGTGGGGTAAATGGTTTGGAAGAAAGAAAATTGACTAATAAAAAGTGTTTTTCTGTAGATCTCTAGATTTCACAAATCTAAATAACTTGCAAACGTAAGTAGTTGGCACGCTCTTTTACGAGATTAAACATATAGAACACCACATGTCACTGATTGTAGTTATAAGTAATATTTATTGAAAAAAAAAGTAGTTAAAGGACTAATCCGAATCAAAATATGGTTTAGGGTATTAATACGAAGAATACAAACTGGGCTGCTAGGTAGCGGAGTGGTGCCATCCCAGTGTTATAAAAATAAAGCATGTATCCTTTAAGTCCCTTGTTGTTGGCACCAACTAACTAGGTGTTAAGTGTTTTAATAAGTACTTAGTTCGAGAAATAAAATCATTAAATTATAAGTAATTACTTAGCGCAAGAACTATGTTTTCATTAATCTAGCCAAAGCAGCAACAAAACTATCGTATCTTTGTACTTGCGAAGTTACAAACCTTTATTGCGGTTTGTTTTGGGGCACGGGGACAGTTCTTGGATAAAAAGACTTGCGCCCAGTGTGGAGTTCCTCGATCCTTGTTATATTTTTATAGTAAAGCGCGCCTCGCTGCTCTTTTTATATATATGACCTTGGTTTTGGTTGTAACCTTGTTTACCAAATTTTTTTCGTAGTTATATTGACTAGCCCTTTCTCTTTTTCATGTATTATTATTTCGTGTATAACAAATTCTACTTATTAGCCTATTACACTTTTAATTATTCTATTTTTTCTTCGTTTGTAAATTTGGCGCGCCTTATTATCTTCATCGAACTCTTTCTGCTTTTGAGTCTCAACATCTTTAGTTACAAATTCTTCTCTTGTCGAAATTTTGGGCCTTTAAATAGTTTTAAGTTGAGTGATGCGAGGCCTTAAAATTAAAAAAATTTGCTTTAAAAGATGACCTTGTACTTCTCGCAAGCAAGCTTTTTTAAAAGTTATGTTTTGGACATTAAAGAGAAGTATACACACCAATAAACCCTTTGCCATATAACAATGTGAATGCATGCTTTTACCAATTCAGAAGTATATAGTATTTCGCGTTGTCTAAAGAAGTAAATACTCCGATGCCCCTGAATTTTATAGTAATTACACCCTCTTTCATTATACCCGTTTTCTCTGTTTACTCATTGCTTTTCAAAATCTTGTAGATTATCGTTTTACTCATTTTTCTAATTTCCGTTGCAACTGCAGCCTATGTTCAGATTTTTTTAACATTGATGTAAATCTGTTTATAGTTCATTAATTGGCTCTATTATATAAACCCAAAATAAATTCTCACGTTCCTTAAATTTCAATTTTTTTTCTATCATTCGCAAAGTGGTGTCGCTCTCCTTCTAAATCACTTTTTATGTATCTAGCAATATAACACTAATTCTATTATTTCTTGACTCAAGTTTTTTAAGTGCCTTAGCTTTAGTACTCATCAACTTAGTTACTTCTCCACGCAGCAACTCTTTAAGGTAAACCCTTCAATTCACGGACCGCTTCAAAGATGATTGATTTTTCCTTATTATACCCTCTAGTTATGTGTTTTTAAACTTACCTCCTATAATTAAAAGCTGTTAATTGCCAAATAAAACCTAAACGTCAACGTTGGCATAAAGTTTATATCTGAATGAAGAAGCCTACCTTACTTTTGAACTTGCCTTCATGGTTTGGTCAGCAGGGTGAGAGGGTGAGCGGTTGCTCCACCTTCAATAAAGCTTCTTGTTTTATATCTTATTAACTGCTAAGGTTTAATTTACACCACGTGTGAGGGTAAACAACAAATGCGAGATATAAAAAACCCAAAATAGTACAGGCACTTTAAAAATTTGTTAGAAAACCTATATATGCAAGTCACAGCTTGTATAAAAGATTGCCCAGAACTTTTGCGAGTTCTATGGGCAATTCAAACCGGGGTGTTTTTATTGACAATGAAAGGGGGCCCTAAACTATAGGGGCCGCCTTATTTTTAAAAGTTTGCATTATAACCTGATTCAATTAAATTAATTATAAGCTTTCTAACTAATTTAAAACCTTTAGTTGCCACACTTGAATTTTAGTAAAAAATTTACAATCCTACCCTAGGGCAAACTAGGAAAGTTCCTGGTAAAACCTAGTCTTATAAAAAGACATGTCAATAGAAAACTAAAAAAACTCCCACAATAAATAATCATAGAACTGCACAAGGAGCTTGTGGGACAAATTTTTTGTCCCACTTCGAAACAAGGAAAAATCTTTTTTCATGAATTCAAGAGCTCTACGCCTTGGTAAGTCTTAAAGTCTGCCAGGGAATGGAACGGCAACAAAGTCTTTAATCTTGAATCAAGCGAATCATCGATTTTTACTTCTTAGAAGGGGGACCCCTTACGTGCTCCAAGCTCTTAATATACACTGAGCATAACAAAAAGGAGTATAACAAGAAATGCACCAATACTTTTGTAAGTTAAAAGTAAAGATAGAACAGTTGAAAAATAATTTATATGAACATAAATTTTCAGAAAGTATACTTAAGTACATGACAATTCTATCAGAAGACCAGCTAGGAATAGACGTTATATCAATAAAATTTTCCTCACGGATGCTATCCTGACATAATGGGGTCACAAACTCGGTGAGTTTAAAATATTAGTGCTGTGAAGGAATCTTAAAAAACAACTTAATCCTAAAGAGAAAATTAAAGGCCAGCAAAATGGCTTTGAGACAGACAGTTATGATGCACTGGTCAGAAAACGCTTCAGAGAGAAGAATAAAAAACTGGCCAAAAAAAAAATTACGAAAAACTTTCTTGTCAACAAAAAAAGCCAGTCCGTGAGAGTGCGGACAAAAACTGACCGAAAAACCTTCATTATGCTCTTCACCTTAACGATCCACGAAGAGGGTGAAGCTAGCTAGTTCTAATCTACCGTTATCATTAAAAACAAGGTCAATGACTTCAACAGGGAGAAGTTCATCGACCAAGCGCACGTAATCAAAGGCCACCGATCAACCGTAAGACCGAAGAGAAGCTCCACAACCAGCAAAACCAAGAGGTTAAGTAACCATCAAAGACGAAAACTGGATCACTAAAAGGGGTACTAACACAAAACGGCAGACTATGCCGGACTCCCAAAGTAGTTGACGTGACAAGTCAATTTATAAATGGCATCATGGTGAGCAATATAACTTTTCATGATTTTAACTTCTGATGAGAATAATATTTCAGAGGGCTAAAAATCACTAAGTGGACTTAATACTATATTATGTTCAACAATGAATAGAGCCCAAATCCGGCGATACTTGGCCTCTTTCAATAAAATAATTAGAGCGATTCCCTATGTTACCACATCCAAAATTTTTCTAAAAATTATGAATCCTTGTATGAACACACATACATTGCCCTAAAGGTTTTATTACGCAAACAAGTTCAGCTTGTTAGCAATTTTCTTCAAAATTCATATGCAATAAGGTTAAAGATGGAGAAGTAAATGAATTTGATAACACCAATCTTGTTTATTTTTACGGGCTTGCAAAAATACACAAATCAGGGCTACCCAAGGATTTTCCACATAAAAAGCCTGTAGTGTCTTATGAACGGAATTCCTTGTATGGTTTACCATACTGGCTTCTAACCCATAGCTAAAAACCTGAAAGCGTTCCTTCTCAATTCTGAACAGATTTATAAAAAGGAAATAAATCGCATCGCCCTGCGAGGTAACAAAGATATTTTTACATGAGACATACTACCTCGCACCGCCAAAAAAGCCTTGTGCTATTATGCCAGCATATACTTACCATACGACATACACCATGCCGTACTGTAAGGTTTCAAACTCACTATGGAGGACAACTATTTTGGGTTCGAGCAAGTGGTTATAGACAAGAAAATGGATTCCTATGAGGGATTCTGCGTGCATTCCTCAATCTACATTTCTTTATGTCGCCTCTTACGAAGACAAATTCTATACAATAGTTGCATGATCACAAGAGATATAAGGATAACTACTGATTCCCTGTAATGCATTCCTTCGATGATGCGAAAAATTATGCCCAGACAAATTCATATATTCATTAATCAATTTCTATTTAAATCAAACTTTAAAAAGTTTCATCACGGAATTCGGGTATATGAGCACTATATTCACAGAACTAATAATCTCGTAGAGGTGCATATTAATATTTTATAGTAATACTGTATATGCTCTACTCAACATAGAAAAGCTTACCAAAAACTCTTAAATCTATAAGGTAACGATGGTTTCCCACATAGTATCCCCCCTAAGCAAATTTTTTTTTTAACTTATAAGGCTAAACTTAAAAAAGAAATGGAAACTTTAAAAATAAGGTGAGCTCAAACTTATGGCTGCTAAACAACTATATTTAGGATCTTTTGGAGGTTGCAGCATGGAGATTAATAAAGAAGTCATAGATCTTCAATGTAAAGTTGATCAAAGTTGTAGAGTTTTCTCTTAATATCTTGACGAACTTGTTTAGCGTTTCGCTCCAAATGCTGGTTTGTTAAGCTTCAAATGTAATTGTAATTAAGTTCTTTCCTAAGTAAACTCACTACCATTAATTTAATTCAGCAGACTCCATCTGAACGCGAGATTACTTGACTATTTAAGGGTTGTCGTTTGATAAAATATCACTAAAGTGCCACTAATAAAAAAAATCCAATTAAAGATTTAGTGTCTGCTGGCCATAATAACACTTAACTACGCTCATATATTCAATATTTACTTATATTAAAACTTCAACCCCGAAAAATTCGTTTTTATGAAAATCTAATATCAATTCCACTTAAGATACATACCAAATTGAAGACTAATAAAGTGTATATACCTTACTAAAACATATGACGTGCTACTAGAAACCCTCAATTTCAAAGCTAAAAATAGTTCTTCACATACCAATAATTATAAGCAAAATTTACTTTTTCCCCAGAA